GAGATCGTGTTTTCTTCTTAAAATTTTGAATGGTGAGAAACTGGCATGATTGTTTACATTCTGCAGAGACACGCATTGTAGACTAGAACCTGGAGTTGAAGACCAAGAATTATGCAATTGAAACACTGGATATGATTGTCAAGGCCAATGCACGGGCTATTGAGCTCGAGAAGCAGGTAGTGGGCTGCTAGAATTCCATGAACTGTTACTGTGACAAAGTATTGTGGTTTCTGATCTAACTTCTTCCAGATTGAGAAGCTCAAGAAGGATATTACAGAACAAAAAAAAAAAGCTCTGGAGGCTAGGGTTGGCGATGCTGATAAGAAGGTGCAAGAGCTGAATACGAAGGTGGAGAAAGTAAGAGTTGATTGTTCGTTTTTTTTTTTACAAATTTTATATTGTTTTATTTATATTTTACCATAGTAAGATGGTGCCTATGATTTTTTCTCAACTTTGCACGTTAGCTGTTTAGGAATTAACTTGATGACGATGTTTTAATTAATTTGGATTTGGAAAAACCTACTGCTTTTGTTGCCAAATTCATTGCAGGCTTTTGGATTGCGGGATTTGATTTGGCCTTGGAGAAAGTATTGGATAACATCGCAGTTTGCTGAATGTTGTAACAGTGAGAAAAAAATTCTTCTTAAATGGAATATCGAAGTATCATATTTAGCCTGTTTTATGGATTTTATTTTTTGATGTAGCATTGAATGGCCACAAATACTGCATTGATGTTAACATTGAATGGTCATATTCTGCATTTTTAATATTTGCTTCAAACAAGAATTTGCATGGTTTCACGTTACCATACAGCCCACCTACCCCTGTGTAGCCGTTGATCGTGACTAAGCTGAAGCCACAGTTCAAGCTTTTTATATGTTGTCTTTTGTTGTGTTTAGATGTGTTCTTTTTATATGTTGTCTTACAGGTGCATGTGATGTATTTATTCTGAGTATCTTTGGATTTTGTTATGTAGGTGACTGATATTATCTGTTACTAAAAGTAGAAACCTTGAAGTTATACATTGCCTTGGAGTTATACATTGCTTCGGGGAGATGAAAACTATTTATTGATGAGGTATCTGTGCTGTTGCTGACATGCACTCAGCGGAGCAATCCCCGTAGCCCTTGGTAAAGTCTCTCTCTAATTTAAACCTTTTTTCCTTTTATAGTCAGTTGTGATCAGGTCTGTTCATCCAAGCTTACGTGTTCCAAATGGGTAAACCTATTCTGCTGTGAGTTTATACTTAATGTGATCCATAGCGTTAGCATGAGCTTAATGTGACCTCTGGTCGAATAGCTGCAAAGTAAGCATGACCATTCAAAGCGAGTATTGTAGCATCCAACACGCCCAAGATTTGCTCAATTCCACCCGTGGATCCCACCGCCTGCTGCCCTTGTTTCCTCCCCTCCCACATCAGCACCAAGTTGACAACACACTGTGTTTTACTCGCCCATATGTCGTTTGATGAAATGTCTCACCTAATAAACAAATAAACAAGTGAGCCTTGTATCTTGGTTTATAGGCCTATCTTACTTTTCTACGGCCCTTAGTACACACGGTGGCCTAAAAAAAAGGTTAACAAGTGTGTGCAATCACACCACTTGATCAACAAAGTACAGTAAGAAAATCATATCACAAAAGGGGCGTTGTCCTTTGCTCGTAGCTGGGCAACATGCTGTTTTCCAACAGTTTAAATCATTTTATTTTTCCAACAGTCCAACATGCTGATCCAGCAGGCCGCATGAGAGAGAGAGAGAGAGAGGGAGGGACAAAATTGGCTTTTCTTTTTCCAAAACAATTTTCCAACTTCATTTTCAAATAGTTTTTGTAATCATTTTGAGTTTTGGATCAAAACCACTCAACCCAATAAATAAAATTCTACAGCATGAGTGCATCAACATGTATCTATCCTTAAGATTGATTTTAATTGCACAAAAATTATTATTTTCCCTATATTTGAATGCACACATAATTACATAAATAAATCAAATTTAACTATTTTAAAAGAATGTAAATTTTAGGGTGTTACAATAACTTAGTTAGGATTTAATGGTCACAAGGTTGACTTTTGTGCACAAGCAAATATATAGAGTTATATTTAATAACATATGTTTAAAGCTTTTAAACACATTATCATTTTATGTGGCCTTTATTTTTCTCCTTTATCTTTCTTTTATTTTTAGTCGGAGTTAAGGTTTGTGCATCATGTGTTTGGTAATTTGAATTTTCATTTATTTGACATTAAATTATATTTAATAATTATTTAATTTAATTTATCTTTTTCACCAAAAATTGAGTTTGACCATAATTAAAAGGCTTTGACCTCAGCATAACTATCATCACATGTGATATATTTATCACCAAAAATCTTAACAATGCTTTTAGTTAGGTGATCTGGTAATAAACAACAACAGGGGTTGTGTGTGCACTCATGTTTGTAACTTGTATATGTTGTTTCCACACACAGGTCATAAGAGTACTTATGACCTGTGTGTGGAAACAACATATACAAGTTACAAACATCCTCTAAGCAGGTTGGAAACTTCATCAAAGTGTGACCTTATCTTAATATTCATGCACTTATGATCAAGTTTTTCATTTCTATGTTACATAGTTTTGGCTTGGCACATGAGATTTCTGGTTTCTACGAAATCTTATTACACATGGTGGCTCACATCCAAGTTTATGTTTGAGAGTTAAGGTTTTGAATGTCCACACATATGATTAAGTTGTCCTAAAGCATCATCAAGATCTTAAGTTCTTATTTAACAATTTGTTTTAATTTCCTTGTATATTTGAGTTATTTCTTACACTAACCTTACCATAAGTCTTTCATGGACAAGTTAACCTTTCATGTTTAGTGCTAATGGTGTTACAAAAACGAGTAGTGTAGGGTACATGCCACGAAGGCTAACAAAACTACTTTGAAAAATTATCCACGTAGGGACCCGCGTCTAATACGGTCTTGACAACGCTCCATCGTGCTTCTATATAGTTTGGACGATCAACATTGACTAATTATAATAGATAACAAGACCCACTAGCAAATAAGCACCAAAGTAACTCCATCAAAATTTTAAAAAGAATCAATCTAGGCACCATAAGTTGATTTTTGAAAAAAGATCTGAAACTAATTTCATAATTTTCTAAGGTAACACAAACTTTCTATGAATTTTCTTAGATTAAACCAGATTTTAGATTTTTTTGCATTACTAAAAATTATTTGAATAAATATTGATTTTTTGAACTTTTTAGATCTAAAAAATATTTCTAGCCTTATTTACCTTACTAAACTTTCAACTTAGCCCGATTACCACCTCTGATGTGGCGTCACATTGACAAAACCACCATCAAAAGCACCAAGGCGAAAAAAACAAACGGTTTTAAAAATTGACAGGGGTGTTAAAAACTAGTTTTACAGTTGATAGAGAAAAATTGAACAATCATGATAGTTGATGGAGGTAAATGAGTCATGTTCTAAAAAAAATCGGCCATGTTCGTGCCCTAGCCCATAATATATTGGCTGCTCGGTCTATGGCAACGGAACATACTTTCATGGCTTTTGTTTTCTTCCTTCTTTGCTTTACTCCTCTTCTTATGTGAACTTCGCCATTCATCAAAGTGGCGTCTAGTCTTCATGCTTGACATATTTCTAACCTATAGCTAGTCTTAAACAATATGCCAACTGGTTTAATTCAGTTACCATCAACTAAAATAATTTGGCTGATTATGACAAACTAACTAGCCAAATTACACCATCAACATTGAGAGCTTACAAAATATCAGTATAATTCACTCCAATGGCACAACACTCCGTGAATACCTTACATATCTCCTACTTCGCTCAACATTCCTATATTTATGCTACTAACATCAACACAAGTGGTTACACTTACACCACCTGATTTTTTTAGAAAATGGAAGAAACTTCCCGCTTCTACATTACCGCACACTATTACATAGTTTCAGTCATGTAAACAAGAAATGCAAAAATTATGCATGCCAGAGTCTTATTAAATTTCCACCCATGAGAAGCAACAGCTCTAGCATAGTGGTCTCTAATGTTCTACTAGCTAACTAGAAAGACTTCTTTGTTTCATCATCATGTTGCAGCAGTGCCCAAAACCGTAGCCAGTATGTTCCCCTGAAAATAGACTGCATAAAAGATGTATACTTGTAATTTTGAAAAATTAGATCATCACAACATTTTCCAAATTCCCAACATAAAGCAACTACCCCAACCAAAATATATTTTTCTCTTTAAAATCAAAATTTGATAGTCAACTTCCTAACATGTGGGATACAGAGCTAGGAGGGGTTAACCCAGTAGCTATATAGATAGTCCTCCATACTGTCTTGACATGATGACAATCAAAGAAAAGATATTTAATGGTTTTGTTGCAATTATAGAAACAACACTTTTGACTACCTTTCCAATTCCTCTTAATGAGGTTGTCCTTTGTTAAAATTACCCCCTTTTGGAGATACCAAAGAAAAATCTTAATTTTTAGAGGAATTTTTAACTTCCAAATCAATTTATGAGAGAAGGGTGTATTCTGATTTATCATGTGAAGATACATAGAGTGGACCGTAAATTGACCATTGTTATGTAAGTTCCAAATAAACAAATCACTCTCATTAGTTCAATTGATATGAGTGATCTTGGCTACTAGCTCTTCCCATTCATCAAGTTTATCCCCCACCAAAGCTCTCCGAAAATATTCAGTGGTGTTGATCTCATAATATTGGCCCTGTATCATACGGACGATTTGTAATATTATACTACACTGCTGGATATAAGGTCTTTGAATGGGCGGTTACCCACCCCTGTATCTTCCCAAAATCTTGTTTGTGATCCATCATTAATTTTGAAGGAACCACGAGCCAAAACCTGATCTTTTATTTACACCACCTGATGCAGTCACCTACCGAACTATCTCACAGTAAAAACACACCTACTGAATCAAATGAACAACATCATCGAGGCTTGGTTTCTCTCACACAACAGGCAGCGATGCATGGCTCCCTTGGAGCTTTAGTGGCTCATTGATCACCGCATCCACTTGTCTAGCCTTCTCCACTGGTGAGCTAAACCCATCAGTTCCTGAGTAGAAGTAGCACACCTTGCACATTTTCCAGAACAACTCCTTGCAGGGCCTAGGAACAGCACCTTCTTCACGAAGAACTAGTCTTAGGAGGTCTCTCCTGCATGTGTCTATGGGCTTCTGTAACTCCCTTCTAGCCTCTGATATGGATGTGCAGCCACCATGAAGAACGAGGAGAGAAACACTGTTCAGCTTGCCCTCGCCGTACACCCTCTGCAACAGTACATCAGTTGATCACTATGTGTCAACTGGCGTCATATTTTCAATATACAAGTCTTCCCTTTTTCTCGATTACAAATGAAAAGGCTTTTTGAATGCCCGTAAAACTACTGGAAACTGAAATTTTCCTATCAGGGATATGAAATACTAATAGGAAAATACAAAAACCAATTTTCTTGTCGGCTTTTAAATTTGTCTGTCGGTATCGAGTACCGACAAAACAATTCATGCTTTCAGGAGTATTTCCTTTTCCAGTGGTGCAAGCCTAAATTGGTAGTATTTAATATATAACATGCTCCTATACCTATTAACACAACTACCCGTAATTCTCTATTCTAATTAATCCCACTATTACTTTCATGACGGTAACAAGCTTGTCATGAAAATTAAGAGTTGCAACCCAGTAATTTACCTCGAATGTCTGAACATCATTCAGGAGCCGGCCACATGTGCTCATTAGCCTGAACAACTCGTTGTATTCTGGATCTTTAACGATGGACTCCGAGATCTTTGGCCCAACAAAATACAATGCTGGCAGTACAATGGGGCCTAATGCAAATGTCAAAGACGCATTTGTCACGTATTCCTCCTCTGTTGGCACATATTTGCTCATCCGTCACTCTACCTCTGTCATCATAGACTTTAGCAATCCAACCACTGCACAAGCCATTCAACACTAGTCAATACTCAAAGCTGAAAAGAAAAAAGAATAAGAAACTGCAGACAAGTCTGTAGACGAGACTTACTATTTCTACTAGATGTTTGGTAACATCACGGTCTTGTAGCAAAGAAGCCTTTGCTCCAAGCTGGTTAACTGAGTTGTAAATTGAAAAAAATACAATCTCTACTTGTTCTGAGTAGAACTCAATTTTGTGATACTCGTCCCACCTATAAAACCATTGAGAAATAGAAGAGTTAAATCATTAAAATAAGAGCCATAATAATTTCTTAAGAAACAAAGATGATGCACGAGACAGTGGTAAACGACAAGGATCATACATCTCAACCAACGTGACAAAGTTTTCAAGTTCTTCTTTGGACCCTCCAACGTCAAAGTGAAAGCGTAATAGGAATTGAGGAATACGCGATGTATTACTCAGGAACCAATGTTATGTACATATAGGCACGATGGGGAGCCGGGTACGGCAGGCCCATGGGCCGTGTCACGTTTACAATCTAACACTCCCCCGCAGTCAGAACTGGGAGCACCGCGAACATTAAGACTGGACCTAAACTCCACAAAGACGGACGTCGGGAGGCCCTTGGTGAAGATGTCGGCATACAAGGGCGACGCGGTCACGAACGAAGTGTAAATCAATCTCCACATGCTTGGGCCGCTGGTGCTGGACGGAGTTGATGGATAGATAAACGGCATTGACATTGTCACAGTACACAATGGTGGCTCGCCGAAGAGGGCAATGGAGCTCATGGAGGAGTTAACGCAACCAACACACCTCCGCAACTCCATTTGCGACAGCGCGATACTCAGCCTCTGCACTGGATCTGGAGACTGTCGCCTGACGCTTGGAAGACCAGGAAATCAAATTATCACCCAAAAATACGCCGTAGCTAGATGTGGAACGGCGAGTGTCGGGACAACCAGCCCAATCAGCATCAGAGTACACAGTAAGATCAGCAGGCGAGGTGCGAAGGAGGTGAAAACCAAGATCCAAAGTACCCTGAATATAGTGCAGGATGCGCTTCATGGCAACGAGGTGTGGCTCTCTCAGATCATGCATATGAAAACAGACCTGCTGAACTGCGTAGGCGAGATCAGGATGCGTGAAGGTGAGGTACTGAAGGCCGCCAGCAATGCTGCGAAAATGTGTTGGATCAGCCACCGGGACACCATCAGTAGACAGCTTGGCGTGAGTATCGACAGGTGTACTGCAAGGCTTGCACTCACGCATACCAGCACGGTCCAGAATATCCAGCATATACTGTCTCTGAGAGAGGAATAAACCATCAGCTCGATGATCAACAGAGATACCCAAGAAGTATGAAGAGGACCCATATCTGTCATAGAAAATTCCCGCTGGAGGGCTGCTATAACCTGGTGGAGGAAACTCTATGATGAGACGGTGAGAACAATATCATCCACATATAGAAGCAAAAAGGATGTGTCGGTGCCACGGCGGTAGATGAACAGAGAGGTGTTAGCCTTGGCCTCTGTTGGTATATTTAATGCACACAGATAAATCCACAAGAGCACGGATACCACTGTAGCTTTCACCCGGAAGTATTCCAAGAATCGTATCCATAGGGAAACGTGTGGAGTTAACTACGGTCCAACTTAACCCGGAGTAGCAACAAGACTTAAGAAAGTCGGGGGTGTAGAGGAGATCGCTAAGGTCTTCTAGTTCTAATCTTGATAAGCTATGTCTTCTATTGTTTAACTGGGATATTACTAAGGGAAACACAGACAAAGTATATTTCCTATAGTAACTAAATCCTACTAGACCTACAAATGGGAGGTGGACTACAGAGGATACAACGAGGCTATAAGAGTCACCCTCGCGAGCTACCACCAATCCGGAATATAGGGTACATCCACAAGTAACCCGGTCTAAGCACCACGCTTACGCCTACAATTACTACTTTAACCTAGAGCGTCCTATAGATTAAAGCACTCAAAGAGTTATGAACCTGATGAACAATATAAACACGATGCTTATTTGAATTAGAAGTTGATTACCAGAGAAATCTCAGATGCAAGGTTGACTTCCGCCAAGGTACAAGCCATAGAGAGAGCACCGATAGGCCGGCATCTCCTCCAAACTCTTCTCTCACTCTCCATCTCTCTATTTCTAAAGACTAGATCCTATGGAGGACTAATTTTCTCTTGATAGCTAGTTTTGATCCTCATGAGGAGAATATGAATTAGGGTTTTAGGATCTAATGAGGGAGGGGGGGGGTAGGGGTTACTATATATAGGCCAGGGGTAGAGTAGGGGGCAAGGAGTCTAGGAGCAGTAAGGGGCAAGGAGTCTAGGAGGAGTATGGGGTAAGGAATTGCCACATCATCGATCCGCGTCAACTCTCCCAAACACTATTGGATGAACCGACCTAAAACCACCTTAGAATCAACGGTGTAGATCGTAGGAAGGAGTACGCGGTGGCAGAGGGTGATGGGCCACCCCATGGGCCGAGCGACCTCCCTAGTGGGCTGGCCGGCCCAATATGGTGCCAGGTGGGCTCCTCCTTCTGTTGGCGAGGCTTGGGCTCCGTCTTGAGTTGTCTTTTGCAGGTTTCGCGGGTTGAATCACTTATTGATGTCAGTTTGATTGTTTGGAGTGTATGACAGTGGTCCCGGAAGTTGTTTTCTGGATAAATCCTCCTGTAGTCATGAAATCACCAAAGCTCGTGGAATTCATTAGTTTAAACCCCTAAACCTTCATTGGTGATTATATTTATGCCCTTATACATATTTAATTGATAGTTTATAATGGTTGTTAACTACCGTCAACAGCCTCAACAAACCCGAGAGAGGTGATGTGACTGACAAAGCGATTGTGCCACGCGCGAGGTGCCTGCTTCAGTCCATAAAGTGATATGTTCAACCTGCACACATAGCTAGGTCGGGTGGAGTCAATAAATCCAGATGGGCTGCTCATAGTAGACGGTCTCAGTCAATGTCCCATGGAGAAAAGCATTCTTGACATCCAACTGGTGAATCGGCCAAGAGCGAGATAGAGCCAATGTAAGAACAACACGAACTGTGGCCGGCTTGACGACTGGATTGAAAGTCTCCTCATAATCAATCCCAGGGCGCTGAGTAAATCCTCGAAGCACCCACCTGGCCTTATAACGATCAAGAGAGCCATCAGGCAAAAACTTGTGACGATAAACCCATTTACCGATAACGACGCTAACACTAGGCGGATGGGCAACCAATGTCCAAGTGTCGTTGGCCAAGAGTGCATCAAACTCGGCCTGCATCGCTGCTCGCCAGTTGGGATCATCTAAGGCGGAGCAAAGATCTTCGGTAGGGGCGAGAGGGTCGCCTATGAAGGTTCAGGCGATCCACTGGATGAATAAAACCAGACTTGCCTCGAGTCCGCATGCTGTGGTCGTTCACCATGGGCACAATGGACTGAGGTCGTGTAGCAGTAGCGTGCCCAGCTCTACTGGCAGCAGCCTGGGACTGAACGTACACAGGGGCAGCAGAACCGGACGCCGAGAGGGCAGTGGCGGCACCCGAGCCAGAGCCTGGCTTGATGGCGGGTGACGATGCAGCAGCAACAGTACTGCCCAAACCAGAGGGCGATGGACTGGGCACCGACGAGTGGGCACCTGGCATAGGCGAGGATGCCCCAGGTGTCGATGTGGGCACATCGGGCACGGGCGACTGAGGTGAGCTGGGAGCGCCGGGAGGAGTACCTACAACCACAGCACTAGGCCTGATGGGCATAGTGGAAATATCATCTTCGTTCAAAAAAATCCAAAGTGGTGGGATTGGAGGGTGAGGTCGACATCTCGGAATTGGGGAACAAGGACTCATCAAATACCACATGCCGGGAGATGATGATCCTGTTGGATTGGAGGTCGAGACATCGATAACCCTTGTGATCGGAAGAGTAACCAAGGAACACACACAAGGAGGAACGAGGTGATAATTTGTGTGGAGCGGTGGAGGACAAGTTGGGATAACAGGCACATCCGAATACTCGAAGGTGAGTGTAGGAAGGATGAGTGCCGTAGAGAGCAAAAAACGGTGTGAGGCCGCTGAGGGTCATAGTGGGATGACGATTAAGAAGGTATGTGACAGGATGAAGGGAGTCAGCCTAATAGACTGGTGGGAGGCTGGCCTAAAAAAGAAGAGAGTGCACAATATTATTAATAGTGCGAAGAGCACGCTCTGCTTTACCGTTTTGCTGAGAAGTGTAGGGGCACGACATGCGAAGAACGGCACCCTGGGAGAGGAAGAACGTGTGGGCTGAGGAGTGATCGAACTCACGGCCATTGTCGCACTAGACGGCCTTGACAGGAGTGCCAAACTGCGTGTGCACATGGGGAAAAAAGTTGGAAAGCATGGCAAAAGTATTGGATTTAAGACGAAGTGGAAATATCCAAGCATAATGGGAGCAATCATCAACGATAACGAGATAATATTTGTAACCCGACACACTAGCGACACGGAATGTCCAAAGATCACAATGTATTAAATCGAATTTGTTGACAGCTCGAGAAGAAGATGTCCCAAAAGGAAGACGAACATGACAGCCTAATTGACAAGCATGACATATGTGATCACGTTTGGGTTTATTACATGAAATAGCATGAGAGCTAATAAGCTTGGACAGAGCTTCGTCGCTGATATGACCGAGATGACGATGCCACAGGGTGGAGGTGGAGGTAGTAGCCACGAGTGCGGGTATGCTGCTGGTGGGCGGGAAGAACGGGTAGAGGTCACCCGTGCTATTGCACCTGGCGATCACGCTCCGTGTTTGAAGGTCCTTCACAGAAAGGCCAAAAGGATCAAACTCTATGGAACATTTATTATCAGTGGTGAACCGGCGTATTGAAATTAAGTTCTTAATAATGCTAGGTGAAACTAAAACATTATTGAGAACAAGAGGATGACGCGGTGCAGGAAAAGAGAATGAACCAATAG